CACCCACCGCACGGCCGCGCCCGTCTGCCCCGTGCCTGGGCCGGCCGTGGCCTCAGAGGTGGAGGAAGTGCGCGGCCATGGCCTGCGCCGGCCGGCGGCCCTGAAGCTGGGCGTGGACTCCTTCCTGCGCTGACATCCGCGCTTGCTGCCTCCTGGCTGCCCGCTGACCACTCAGTGGGGCTGGGGGAGTCTGGGTGCCATGGTGGGGACCGAGGTCTGACCCGTAGCTTCTCTGCGGTCCTGCGACACAGATGGAGACGAGGTGGCCATGAGGTGGCCATGAGGCGGGCCTGTTACTCCCCAGCGGGGTCCTGGTGGGTAAGGGCAGGCCGGTTTGCTGTCGTGGCTGCTGCCCAGGGCCTGTGGCAGTGACGCTGGCTGGCCGGGGAGGTTGCTGGGCCCTCACACCAAGCCCGGGCAGCCTCGGTGCGCAGCAGGGTCAGCCCCGGGCCAGCACGCCCGCCCATTCTGCAGGGCGCTGGACCCTGGAACAGACATGCATGGAGGCACGCCCAGAGCTCAGCAGGCCTGTGTTCACAGGGAGAGCTTCCCCTGTGCCCAAAGGGGCCAGAGTGGCCGGCCACAGCCCTTGACCTTCTCTCATAGGGCGGCCCTGACCGCGAGGCCACTCGGGCCCAGAGGCAAGGCCCAGGACCTGCTAAGGGCACGAGGGGACATCACGGGCCTCCCTAGCCAGCCCTGGACTCCCGTCGCTCTGCCCCACCCTGGGCCTTGGGTGCCAGGTCGGCCCCAGCGGGTGCGTGTGGGGAGGGGAGAGGAGGGAGGGGACGTGGGGACAGGGAAGGGGAGGGTGTGCGGGCGGGCGGGGGTGCAGCACAGCCTGTCTCAGCTCTGGCCCCTGCGGGGTGCGGCCCCCCGAAGACCTCCCCCCCCAGCCGCGGGCTTGCAGCTGCATCTCAGCAGCAGGGTCGCTGGGTTGCTGTGGTCACTGTAGGGGCCCAAGGGTGGGGCGCACAGGACGGGCTCCCTGTGTCGCGGCCTGAGGTCTCGGCCTCCGCAGGACACTCGCCGGCCAGGTGCTCGCCGTGGTGGGGGGATGCACCTGCCTCCCCGGCCGTGGCCAGAGGGACGTCAACCAGACCGGGCTCGCCGCTCACTCTGGGGTCTGGGTCTCGGTCTGAGTCCCAGGCCGTGGCCCCACGTGGCTGGCCATGTGTCCACCGAGACGCTCCTAGGACCAGATAGCAGAGAGGTGGACGCTCTCCCCGGAAGCCGGCAACCAGCCTCGTCTGGACAGGTCACCGCAGGGCCCCTCGTCCACACCGCTGCTGCCGGAGCCAGACACGGGCGCCCCAGGCCACGGAGTCCTGAGGGCCCGGCCAGCGGGCCACGCGCAGGACAGACGGGGCGCCCGGTCCTTCTGTCCGTGAGTGGCCCCGGGGGGCCTGCTGAGGCAGTGCAGGTCACCCGCCAGGCCTGGGGGAGGGACGGGCACCCACAGGCCAGGCCAGGCAGGGGTGGGAAGGTGGCTGAGGGCTGGCAGGCAGCCCCCAGCGGGGTCAGCCTTGCGGGTGGCCACTCCCCGCTGCCTGGGCCCGGGCCAGCTGTGGAGGCGGGGAGGACGCGGCTGGGCGGGGGATGGGCCTGCGCCTTGTTTACCTGCGAGGTCCCCTCAAGAGTTTCAGGGCTCCTGCCGGCTGAGCCCATAATTAATTTGGGGCTCGGCATGACCTAGCGCTCGTCCTTTAATTAGCAGGCACCCCGGCCGGCACCCCCAGTCCGCCGGCGCCCGGGGCCTCGGTCCCTC